AAAGAAAAAAAAACACCTTAGAGGTACATGGTAAAACAGGCACATTTTTTTATTTTTTGTTTGTTTGGCTATAAACTGTATGGACTTACATTGGTGAGGAAATTCACAGAATTTTTGTATGTTTTGCAAGCTTAACTCTACAGCAATTTCAACAGATTAAAATTAAGTGAAATAAAGATGATAGAGGCTTAACATTGCTAGGTCAGTTATGCTAGTGTAAGTATAAGATGGTGACACGTTTCATAGTGTAGCAGTAGCTGGGTACTATATGGTATATATACTCGTCGTGCTCTGTGTGTAGACTAGGAGGCATTGTATAATGCATAACATCGCTAAAACCTGTCTATATTGTAAAGTAACATCACTATTTTCTCTAGGCATAGTTAACTTATGGTACAGCAGATCATAGCTAGATATTATACCACTGGGAACTAGTTCCATCATAAATGTCATTGTAATCAGAGGGCACTGCTGGCACGGGGCACAATCTGTGTGGAATATGCACGAGGCATCTGTGTCTGGGTGTCTCTCTATGTTGAGGGTTCTGAACAGTCCAGGCTCAGAATGCCTGTGTGGGGCGAGCTGGTGGGCGCTTCAGCTGATGCCTAATGCTGGTAAGCGCTGGGTGTTTTCCTGATTTGTCTCTCCGTCGTTACCCCTGGGTTTGCTTTCTCTGCTTCATGGATCAGCTCCGGCAGTGCTCTGTAGCATGTGCAGCCGCTCAGTCACTAGTGGTGCAACATTCTTTGTGTAAGGTCTGTACCTGCTGCACTGGGTGCCGAGCTTTTGATCGGGTGAGTTCCTCGTTTGCGTACATTGTTTTATATTCCCAAGTGTTTGCAGGTAGGAGAGTGCGCCCGTTAGACCTGGCATAGTTTTTCTTCTTTTTTTCTGTCTGTGTTGCCGGACGGCCATCTTGGAGGCTCATGGTATCTGCCTATAATAGCTGCGTCGCACAGCAGGCCGTATCCACGCTATCACCGTTATATCTGCTTGATGGTAGGATTCTCCTCTGCTACGCAAAGTGTCCCTAAAGCTTGTACAGAGTCGATCAAATGTCTCTAGGGGGGACATGGGTGGTTGGGTTTGGAGGCTCCTCTTTTTATGTTTATGCTGGGTGGCCATTTTGGTTATGCCCTGTGTGCCAGTTGCCCCAGTGTGACTTGTGGCTGGATCACCTGCTTGCCATCCTCGCCGTCAAAAGGTAGGGACTGACACTCGGCCGGGTCCGTGCTGGGGTGAGTTGGAGATAGGTCGCTTGAGGGCTCTCGTGCCGAGGAGAGCGGCCGCCTCCCCCTGGCTTCAGCCCCAGTAGGCCGCATTTGTATCTCTGAGTTCCCAGCCTTTACAGGCCCCGCGGTAGTGTTGGTGGGTTCTGTGTTATTTTGGGCTATATTACTGCTGCTTTTGTTCCGCTCAGCAGGAGCTCGTGTCAGATGCGTCTGCACGGCTCAGTGGTCAGGCTCCGCCCCGGTATAGCGTTTTTTATAGCGATTTAAAAGCAGTTTCTTTAGGCCTTATTCAGATTTTTAGATCTGCTTCTATTACAATATTTAGTTGGTATTTGCCTTTAAACATGCAGCTGTGCAGTCTGAGTTAGGGACCTCTGATTTTTAAATTAACAATTGTTTATTTTAGCTTGTTTGTCTATGAGGTTTTGAAAGGCAAGTGCTCTCCTTTTCACAGTTTCATTAGGTATTCTGTATTTGCTCTAGGTATATTATATATGCCTTAAATTTGAGCTTGAAATTGTACAAGTTGATTTAGAATTATTTATCTTAATATTGACGTCTCTCCTCCAGAGAATATAGCAGTGAAGCATTACAAGAGCTAGTGATTAGTGATGTCGCGAACACGAAATTTTCCGGCGAACCGGGCGAACCGCCATGGACTTCAATGGGCAGGCGAATTTTAAAACACACAGGGACTCTTTCTGGCCACAATAGGGATGGAAAAGTTGTTTCAAGGGGACTAACACCTGGACTGTGGCATGCCGGAGGGGGATCCATGGCAAAACTCCCATGGAAAATTACACAGTTGATACAGAGTCTGGTTTTAATCCATAAAGGGCAGAAATCACCTAACATTCCTAAATCACAATCAATATGGATTGACACCTGACATATGACATATTGACACCTTGACATATGGATTGACACCTGTCCTCAGAGCCCCTGATGCACACGGACACAGAGCAGAATAGGGACTGGTCCCCCTACATAGGGTCACTTGGCAGATATGGATTGACACCTATCCTAAGGATCCCTGATACACACTGACAAAGAGCAGAATAGAGACTGTTCCCCCTACATAGGGTCACTTGGCAGGTATGGATTGACACCTGTCCTCAGAGACCATGATACACACTGACACAGAGCAGAATAGAGACTGTTCCCCCTACATAGGGTCACTTGGCAGATATGGATTGACACCTGTCCTCAGAGACCATGATACACACTGACACAGAGCAGAATAGAGACTGTTCCCCCTACATAGGGTCACTTGGCAGATATGGATTGACACCTGTCCTCAGAGCCCTGATACACACTGACACAGAGCAGAATAGAGACTGTTCCCCCTACATAGGGTCACTTGGCAGATATGGATTGACACCTGTCCTCAGAGACCATGCTACACACTGACACAGAGCAGAATAGAGACTGTTCCCCCTACATAGGGTCACTTGGCAGATATGGATTGACACCTGTCCTCAGAGCCCCTGATACACACTGACACAGAGCAGAATAGAGACTGTTCCTCCCACATAGGGTCACTTGGCAGATATGGATTGACACCTGTCCTCAGAGCCCCTGATACACACTGACACAGAGTAGAATAGAGACTGTTCCTCCTACATAGGGTCACTTGGCAGATATGGATTGACACCTGTCCTCAGAGCCCCTGACGCACACTGACACAGAGCAGAATAGAGACTGTTCCTCCTACATAGGGTCACTTGGCAGATATGGATTGACACCTGTCCTCAGAGACCATGATACACACTGACAGAGAGCAGAATAGAGACTGTTCCCCCTACATAGGGTCACTTGGCAGATATGGATTGACACCCGTCCTCAGAGCCCCTGATACACACTGACACAGAGCAGAATAGAGACTGTTCCTCCTACATAGGGTCACTTGGCAGATAAGGATTGACACCTGTCCTCAGAGCCCCTGATACACACTGACAGAGCAGAATAGAGACTGTTCTCCTACATAGGGTCACTTGGCAGATATGGATTGACACCTGTCCTCAGAGAACATGATACACACTGACACAGAGCAGAATAGAGACTGTTCTCCTACATAGGGTCACTTGGCAGATATGGATTGACACCTGTCCTCAGAGACCATGATACACACCGACACAGAGCAGAATAGAGACTGTTCCTCCTACATAGGGTCACTTGGCAGATATGGATTGACACCTGTCCTCAGAGACCATGATACACACTGACACAGAGCAGAATAGAGACTGTTCCCCCTACATAGGGTCACTTGGCAGATATGGATTGACACTGTCCACAAGGACAAGCTGCAGGCTTCCTGGCAGGGCCCATACAAGGTGGTAGAGCAGGTTTGTGATACCACCTTTGTGATCGGTGTGGTCACAGGCACGGGAGGCAAGCGCATGCTCCATGTGAACATGCTCAAGCCATACCACGAGCGCACGGAAGAGGTAACCGCGATCTGTGCACCTGCCACTGAAGATTATGATAATTTGCCACTCCCAGATCTCCTAGAGCTAGAGGGCCAGAGCGGAGACCTGGGAGAAGTACAGTTAGGAGAACGGTTAGACCCCCAGCAGCGAACTCAGGTCCAAAGACTAATCCAGGACAAGGGGGCCACGTTTTCCAACCTACCTGGGTACAGTCCGTTAACCACTCACAAAGTTGAAACCCTAGACCAGACCCCCCTTCGCCAAACCGCCTATCGCATACCCGAAGCAGTTAAAGAAAATATTCAGAAAGAAATTGAGGAAATGATGCAGTTAGGGGTGATAGAACACTCTGACAGCCCCTGGGCCTCCCCGGTAGTACTAGTACCGAAACGGGACGGCACGACCCGTTTCTGTGTAGACTACCGGAGGCTAAACGATAAAACAACCTCAGACGCCTCGTCTATGCCCCGGATAGACGAGCTCCTAGACAAAATGGCCAGAGGCCAGTACCTCACCACAATAGATCTGTGCAAGGGGTACTGGCAAATTCCATTAGCCGAGGACGCCATCCACAAGTCGGCATTTGTCACCTCGTTTGGCCTGTATCAGTTTAAGGCCATGCCATTCGGGATGAAGAAGCCATTTTTAGCTGCTCCTGGCCCTAACACCTGACCCACATAGGAGCCATATTAGACGGGATTAGGGAGGCCGGACTGACCCTAAAGCCCAGTAAGTGCCATATAGGAACGCGTAAAAACCTCCCCAAGATAGTAGTATGGCCCCAGAGTGTGAACAGGCCTTCCAACAGCTCAAGACGGCGCTCATTAAATCATCTGTACTTTCTGCTCCTGATCCAACTAAACGCTTTCTCGTCCATACAGACGCTTCTATGTTTGGATTGGGAGCAGTACTGAGCCAAGTCGGAGCAGATGGCGGCGAGCAACCCGGGGCTTATCTAAGCCGGAAACTTTTGCCCAGGGAAGTAGATACACTGCCATTGAAAAGGAGTGCCTGGCGGTGGTGTGGGCCCTCAAAAAGCTGCAACCTTACTTGTATGGACAACCGTTTACCTTACTCACAGATCACAACAAATTTGGGGCACTGCGCGTGCAATCTAATGTGCCACCAGATAGGAGTGGTGTGTTAAGTAGTACTATTCTTATCAGTTTAATCCCTGTTACGTCCCCTATCTGTTGATGTGGAGCAAGACGCAGCAGCAGAAGAGGACTCAGCCGAGGAGGTTATGGAAGAGGATGGAGTAGGAGGAGTAGAAGAGGTGGCAGCAGGCCTGCCTGCAAGTCATGGCGGTGTCACCAACTCCTCTGCAGAGCTACGCATTCCATGCTTGGCAGCCGTCAGCAGGTTTGCCCAATGTGCAGTGTAGGTGATATACCTGCCCTGACCATGCTTTGCAGACCAGGTATCAGTGGTCAGATGGACCCTTGCCCCAACACTGTATGCCAGACATGCCATTATTTCCTTTTGCACAATCAAGTACAGGTTGGGGATTGCCTTTTGTGAAAATAAATTTCGTCCGGGTACCAGTGAGTGAGTGGTGGCACTGGGCACAGTATCCACTGTGAGCCTGACACACCCGCTGGCAGACAATTAACTGCCCTTCAATCTATAACAGTGAAAAAAAATTTTTTGTTTTTAAATGCAAGCTATTATGACACCAGATATGAGTGGCAAAGTACACGGGCAAAGGTCTGCAGAGCACACGCTGAAGGAGGCCTGATACCCGCTTTAAGGACACTGACTGCTATTAGCTTACACTGAAAAACTTTTTTTCTTTGTAAAAGCACGCTATAGAGACACCAGATATGAGTGGCAAAGTACACAGGCAGAGGTCTGCAGAGCACACACTGAAGGAGGCCTGACACCCGCTTTAAGGACACTGCCTGCTATTAGCTTACACTGAAAAACTTTTTTTCTTTGTAAAAGCACGCTATAGAGACACCAGATATGAGTGGCAAAGTACACGGGCAAAGGTCTGCAGAGTACACGCTGAAGGAGGCCTGACACCCGCTTTAAGGACACTGACTGCTATTAGCTTACACTGAAAAACTTTTTTTCTTTGTAAAAGCACGCTATAAAGACACCAGATATGAGTGGCAAAGTACACGGGCAAAGGTCTGCAGAGCACACGCTGAAGGAGGCCTGACACCCGCTTTAAGGACACTGACTGCTATTAGCTTACATTGAAAAACTTTTTTTCTTTGTAAAAGCACGCTATAGAGACACCAGATATGAGTGGCAAAGTACACGGGCAAAGGTCTGCAGAGCACACGCTGAAGGAGGCCCGACACCCGCTTTAAGGACACTGACTGCTATTAGCTTACACTGAAAAACTTTTTTTCTTTGTAAAAGCACACTATAGAGACACCAGATATGAGTGGCAAAGTACACGGGCAAAGGTCTGCAGAGCACATGCTGAAGGAGGCCTGACACCCGCTTTAAGGACACTGACTGCTATTAGCTTACACTGAAAAACTTTTTTTCTTTGTAAAAGCACGCTATAGACACACCAGATATGAGTGGCAAAGTACACGGGCAGAGGTCTGCAGAGCACACGCTGAAGGAGGCCTGACACCCAGACGCTTGCAGACAACTAACTGCTATTCAATCTATTAGAGTGAAAAAAAAAATTTTTCTTTTTAAATGTCAAGCTTAAGCTATTGTGACACCAGATATGAGTCATGGCACTGGGCAAATGGGCACAGTATCCACTGTGAGCCTGACACACCTGCTTTAAGGACACTGACTGCTATTCAATCTATAACAGTGAAAAAAGTTTTTTGTTTTTAAATGCAGTTTTGGCCAGACACCAGGTGAGTGAGTGGTGGCACTGGGCACAGTATCCACCAGAGCCTGACACACCCGCTTTAAGGACACTGACTGCTATTCAATCTATAACAGTGAAAAAAGTTTTTTTGTTTTTAAATGCAAGCTATTTTGACACCAGATATGAGTGGTGGCACTGACTGGGCAAATGGGCACAGTATCCACTGTGAGCCTGACACAGAAGCTGGCAGCAGTGGCAGACAACCAACTGCTATTCAATCTATAACAGTGAAAAAAGTTTTTTGTTTTTAAATGCAAGCTATTGTGACACCAGTGAGTGAGTGGTGGCAATCTGACTGGCCAAATGGGCACAGTATCCACTGTGAGCCTGGATTGACGAAGCTGGCAGCAGCAGTGGCAGACAACCAACTGCAATTACATTACACAGGAAAAAAAAAAAGCAGACTGATGTTCTAGCCCTAAAAAGGGCTTTTTGGGGTGCTGTCCTTACAGCAGAGATCAGATGAGTCCTTCAGGACTGTAGTGGACACTGTATACCCTAACCTAGCTATGCATTTCCTATCTAATCAACAGCAGCTACACTTTCCCTCCTCTCACTAAGCATGCAGCTTGAGAATGAATCTAAAATGGATGCTGTCCAGTAGGTGGGAGGGTCTGCTAGGGAGGGTGTGCTGCTAATTGGCTGGAATGTGTCGGCTGACTGTGAGGTACAGGGTCAAAGTTTACTCAATGATGACGAATAGGGGGCGGATCGAACCGCGCATGTGTTCGCCGTCCGCGGCGGACGCGAACACGCTATGTTCGCCGGCGAACCATTCGGTGCATCACTACTAGTGATATAGCTGTGAAGCAGGTTCCCTACAAGCATGAGACAAGGCTACGTGTTGTGGGTTAAGCAGAAATTAATTTTAATGGTGCCGCACTGGCCTTTTATGACAATCCCCAAGGTGTACGCCCACATGGACCTTGTTGGGGACAGGGACACAAATTTACAAACCAATGATAATATGTTTACAATGTATGACACTCGAACATACAATACAAAAAGGCCTCCCCATTTAATTAGAAGATAATTGAGTCAAGCAATATACTAAATTCAATTATCTCCAAACACAAAAAACACACATTTCTAAAAAGTCCCAAAAGTACCCCAAAACACATAATATCCCCACAAATGTTACATCCTCTGATAGCCCTGATCTGGGTGACCAACATATCCAAAAATAAAGCATATCAGTTCAGGTGTTTAGAAATTTTCTGAAAGTCATAATTTTTACCGACCGCAGGCATGGTCCCATAGACAAAAATAGTTCCATAGAATCGCGGCTAAGTGCCCCTGAAGTTTATTTGCGGTTTTGGTCCATGCGAACCACATGGCCGCCACCTCGTGGTAGAATGGCACTTCAAATGGCTTTGGGGGTTCGAAGTGCTGCTTTGAAACTTCGAATTGTGGCCATACAATTACAAAAAGGCACACACAGTGGTTTTAACCCAGGGGCAATAGTCACAGGGCAAGTGGCTGGCAAGTATGTCCCTCTAAGAACACGTGATGAGGTCCAGTTCGTCACACTCCTTTTGCATTTAGTTGATATGTGCCAAAGGTTAAAACCTGCAGTTGTGCAATGTTAAACCTACACCTATTGCACTGATTGTTTAATATATAACAAGTTTGAATGTTTATAGTTTTATTTGAGTGTCTCCAGTTTTATAAGTTGTTCTTTAAAGTCTTTGCAGGAGATATTGCTTTCGCACTGTATGTCAAATTGTACCTTAATGCTGCTTTTCCAGCTACTTATGTTTGAATTCTAATTTCCTCCTTTTTCCTATCTTCACAATAATAAGTTTGATATGAAACTTAGTTTAGACTATCATATTCTTAAGTAAATGGTTTTGGGGTTTAATCTCAGTGGCTATCCCTTTTTTTTTTTTTTTTATATAACCAGTGTCAGTGATAACCCGCACCGCAAACCCACCTTAATAAACCCAATACGTTATATAATTTGTTCTGCCATTTTGTACTAGAATGTACTTACTTTACCCACCACTGTGAAAAGTTAAAAGAGCTAAACTGGCTATTGCTGGAATCCTGATGCGCTCTTCATCTTTTCCAGTGCATAAGAGCATTTCTGGGAAGCTCCCACACTACCTGAGTAGAATGCTCTGCCCGGCTGTTCCCACCTCCTATAACCTCCAATCCAGTACTAGCACGATATTTAGCATACCGCAATACAAAAATAAAGTGTCTCGGTCCTCCTTTTCCTACAGAGCACCGCAATTATGGAATAACCTCAGGGACCCAGTGAAATCTTCATTCAATCTAAAATCTTTTAAGAGATCTATGGCAATATACCTCAGCACCGAATGCACCTGTCATGGTTGAATATATTACCTGTTATGTATTAAATTTATATATGTGTGTATATATATATACATACACACATACATACACTGTTGACTGTGACAGAGTGGCCAGTGGCAGGGAGAGTATGACAGGACGAAGGAGGCAAATGGGACAGGGTAGGGGGTTGTGAGAGAGAATGAGGGAGAGCGAGTGTGACATGGTTTGATGAAGGACTGTGACAGGATGAGTGGAGGTAAGTGTGTCAGGGCAATAGTGGCATGGTAGGAGGGACGAGTGTGACAGGTTTGGAGAGATTTAAGTGACAGGGTAAGTGTGGCATAGTTGGGGTGGGGTATCACAGTTTTGGGGAAGGGTGAATGTGGCATTTTTGGAGGAGGGAGTTGACAGGATTAAGGGGGGTTAATGTGACCGGGTGAGTGTTGCAAAGCGAGAGCAGGTGAGTTTGGAGGGGGTGAGATTAACAGGATTAGGAGTGGTTAATGTGAGTGTGGATGCATGAAAGTGCTGAAAGTGTGGAGGGGGTGACCGTGTGGTAACGGGTGATAATGTGTGTGAATATGACAGTCTGAGGGGAGGCTTACAGTGTGTGAGAGTATGGTGACACTGCATTGTAGGGGATGACAGTGTGTATAAGGAAGGGTGACTAGGTGTGAGGGGGATAATACTGTGTGTGCGAGGTGGTGACAGTTTGTGTGTGAGGGGTGATCCGGTGAGGGACAGTGGGGTGATCGTGTGTGGGACAGAGGGGCGATAGTGTGTGGGAGGGGGTGATACTGTGAGGGAGGGAGGATACTATGAGGGAGGGAGGATACTGTGAGGGAGGGAGGATAGTGTGAGGGAGGGAGGATAGTGTGAGGGAGGGAGGATTGTATGAGGGAGGGAGGATACTGTGAGGGAGGGGGTAATACTTTGAGGAAGGGGGGTAATATTATGTAGAAGGGGGTAAAACTGTGAAGGAGGGGGTTGGATACTTTGAGGGAGGGGGTAATACTGTGCTTGAGGGGGTAATACTGTGAGGGGGAATACTGTGATACTATAAGGGAGGGAGGGTAATATGAGGGAGGTTGTAATACTGTGAGGCAGGGGGGTAATACTGTGAGGCAGGGGGTGATACTGTGAGGGAGTGGGGAATGCTGGGGGGGTACTGGGAGGGAGTGGGGAATGCTATGGAGTACTTGCCTGGTAGGGAGAGAGGTACATACTGGAGGAAGTGAGGTGATGAGTGTAGGGAGAGAGAATACGAGGTAAAGAGAGTAATAATGAAAAAGAGAGGATACTGGAGGAGGTTTATAGTGTGAGGGGGTAATATTGGTAGGGACTGGGGAATACTGGGAAAGACTAGGCAATACTGGGAGGGAGGACGGTAATACCGTAAGTGGGGAAATACTGTGAGGGAGGATAGGGTGAGGGAGGGGGATACTGGGAGAGAGGTGGGTGATAGTGTGAGTGAGGGAGTATACTGGGATGGGGTGATAGTGAAGGGGGATACTG